GGGTTCTTAACTAGTATACACGCGAGTAACACGTGAGTAACCCATTTCGACCCGTTAAGAAAAAAATTATTTTGATAATTTTAAAGTTTAATTACTGAAAGATTTATGATAAAATACTTAGCCATATTAATATATACAATATATTCTATATTAAATATATAGTTTTGTATTATTATTCTATATAAGTTTTAAAAAAAAATTAGTCATTATTTATTTTTATTACGAGAGTTCCTTATTATCATTACTAGGATAAATTTTACTTAACATGTTGTCCAAAAGTATTTGTATAGCCAAGAACTAAGAAGACATACATACAAGTATGAAAAATGTGAAAGAATATATAAACACTCGTGATTCATCATTATTCCTTCACGAGTAGATAATGATTACACTTATATTATTGTTTAGATTTTTAAAATCCCCCAAATCCTCATGAATAATGTTTTATATTTGACGGAAAAATTAATAAAATTAATAATAATTATTGTAGAAGTGTAAAAAATGTAAAAAAAAAATATATACAATCACTCATTGTGATAAGCTTTACAACTTTCATGAAGGGGTCAGCTTCGAAATCCAACACTATAATCCATAAACCTTAAATTTATATTTAACCATAGATTGTCATTTACGCTTTATTCTTCTTACTTAATTTTATTTTTAAAATTTTCTTTTTTGAAAAAATGATCATCTGCCGAATGTAAGAAGATGAACAGTTTAAATTTTCGATATCACGTTTCGATATTTACAGTTAACAGAAATATGAGTCGATGTCATATAATTTGTAGAAACTTTATAAACATCAAGCAATATTTTCACTAATCGTAAACTCTGAATATAATATCAACGATCCAAACCATGCATCTTCCTGCATCTTCTAATAGATCATGTTTTCAAAAAAGAAAATCTGAAAAAACAAAATTTGATGAGAACAATAAAGCGTAAATGAAAACAACAATCAACGATTAAATTTTGATCTATGGTTTATGTAATTATAGTGGCGAATTTCGAAGTTAAGCTCTTCATGAAAGCTGTAAAGCTTGTCATTACGAGTGTTTATATATTTTTTCTATATTTTTTACACTTCTACATTAATTAAAAAACTATTAAAGATTTTACTTAAATAATAGTCGTACGATAAATGAGAGTAAATCTGTACCGTTAGATTCTATTTCACTTATATTATTAGAACTTTTTTGGACAAAAAAACCCCTTCTCTATCCCAATATTTTCCAATTTTACCATTTAATCAATTTAGGTAAGCGAAAATATACTTAAAAGAAAAATGTGTTTTTATGTTTTGAATGTGACAATATAGTGTGTATATACTTATTTAGTTTTATATTTTTCATTTGATTATTTATTGGTTTAAAATATATTTTCCTTAACGGGTAACCGATCGGGTCATATTACATGTTAATATTATTGGGTCAATTTCGAATCGGGTCATTTTACCTGTTTATTTTAACGGGTGTTACACGACACGATCCGTTAAGATATCGGGTATAACACGAAACTGATACAAACACGAAAAACACGACATGAATGTCAGGTCTACATAATATGACAAAATGTTTTTTTTTTTTTAAACTGAAAATGACTTAACTGCCTTGTATATAAATAGGTTATTTCCTCCCCAACCCAATCATCATTTGCACCTTTCTCCCAAAAACTCTCTCACCCAATCCCCAACAGAACCCTAACCCCCTAAGGGTTGTTTCAATATCAGATTTTGCAACCGATTTACCTGCAAAAATAGAGTGTGCAAGTGTTTCAAAAGGCTGAGAGTGGCGTGGATGGGGTCCACGAGGTTGCAGCTGCCCATGTCGAGGATTTGCAGCGAACTCAGCGACCCCAGCTCCGGCGAGTTTCATGACCCAATTAAAACCTCCCCGTCCATAACCTTAGTCAAAGTAACTCTGTCGCGTATATCACGATTTCTACCCACACACATGTGGGCTGAACTTCTTTTGGATGGTAGGTGATCGCCCGTATCTCAGGTCTTGATAGCAACGGGGTCGTGCACGTCACCCTCTGCCACGAGAAGTTGGACTTCTTCCTGGGGAGGCAAGATCAATTCCCCAGGTTAAAATTTATAATTTTTATGTCTCTAAACTCAGTCCAACCCAAAGGGAAATTTGGGCTAAAAGTTAAATGGAGAAGTGAGGCCAGGTTCCGTCCACCGAAATGTTTGCTTTTCAGTGTTTGCGCGCCAAACACAGCCCAACCCAACCCCCAACGTGCCTAACGCGCGAGTCTTCCGACTGCGAGGGACCCACCCACATGCGGCTGTCGGCCACATTCCGCCTTGCATCCAACGGCTCTTTGCATCCGAGTCTATAGAGACGTTAAAAGTTTTCCGAGAATTACAGACTCTACTCACGCAGTCATTTTGTGAAAGGGTTGGAATTGCTGATTCTGCTGATCGTTTATGGAGTCTATGGGGAATCTCACAGGAGTTCAAAATCTTTTTCGGTTCATCATTTTCTCCATGTGGTTTCTCGTTGCTTCGTGGTTGTTTGCTCCTTCCATATTCAATCCGTCCAACTTTGACTGGCAGAAAATTGTAGATGACTGGACAGATTGGAAGAGGTGGATGGGAAACCGTGGTGGTATTGGGATATCACTTGAAAAAAGTTGGGAATCATGATGGTATGAAGAACAGGAACACCTCAAAGACACAGATTTCCTGGGAAGAATTCTTGAGATTATACTTGCGCTTCGGTTCCTTATTTACCAATATGGAATTGTTTACCACCTTGATATAGCTCATCACAACAAGAGTTTACGGGTAATTTTCGTGTTCCATTATATTTGTCTAGTTGTTCTCCTGTTGGCCTATAAATAGTTGTTTAGCCTGAAGGCCTAATTCTTACGACTTTTTTCAATTTCTTTGCAGGTTTATGGACTTTCTTGCGTGGTTATGGTAACTGTTCTTTTCGTTCTAATGGTATGCAAATAAAAATCACTAATAACTAAAAACTAATAAGTATGTTTGATGCAAGGTTGTTTGGACTTGGTTTTGACTGGGTTACAGATAAAAATGTTACTTCTCGGATAATATGATATATCTGATATTGCTTATTTTGCATGTTTCCATCAGATAGTTTCCCTGGGTGGACGAAGATTTGGCACCGACTTTCAGCTCAGTTTCAGGATTTTGAAAGCGCTTCTGCTTCTTGGTTTCATGTCTGTCATGACTGTCCTATTTGTTGTTTGCGGCCTTACCATTTCAGATCTATTTGCTGCAATCCCTGCCTTTCTACCCACAGGCTGGGCCCTTCTTCTGGTAAGTTAAATGTTTTATAGAGTTTAAGCGTTGAGAGTTTTTTCATTTCAAAATACCACTTCAAAATTATGCTTAGAAACAATGTCCCAAACTTTTCCTAATTGTATTCACTAAACCAATTGTTTGATTCGTTCTTTCAAGATCGGACAAGCATGCAGGCCGTTGTTCAAAGGGCTAGGACTCTGGGAATCAATCAAGGAGCTTGGAAGAGCATACGATTACTTAATGGGACTAGTAATCTTCATGTCGATAGCCATTTTGTCATGGCTCCCGTTTGTATCAGAGTTCCAAACACGTATCCTCTTCAACCAAGCATTCAGCAGAGGCCTGCAGATTTCCAGGATTCTTCCAGGAAGGAAAGACAAGACTGCTTCTTGGACAGAAACCTAAAAATTTCCATCTGACATGGAAGCTTTTAGCATCTCAACTTCATATGCGCGATTAGAATATAATTTATCCTGTGAAAATCCCATTGAATCACAGCAATTAATTTACGAGGGAGATTAAGGGCTGGTTTGGTATTGTTGTGCTTTGAAAAAAAACTGTTTTTGTTGTACTGTAAGAATAAGCAGTTATGAAATAAAGCAGTAAAGTGTTTGGTAAACTTTTTCATGAAAGTGCTTTTGAAAAAAAAAAAAGCAGTATTATAGTGTTTGACGAACTTTTATGTAAAAAAGATGTGAAAAAAGCTGGTTTTTCAAAGCTGGGTTTTGCAGCTTCTTGTTTTTGGCTTTTTTTCACCCAAAACAGTGAAAAAAAGCTGAAGCTGAATGTTTACCAAACACAAAAACAGCTCCCAGCTTTTTTTTATACCAGTTTTTTTCAGAATCAGCTCTAAAAGGCACTCTACTTAATCTTCCTCATACCAGCTTTTTTTGATACCCGTTTGTATCAGAGTTCCAAACATGTATCCTCTTCAACCACGCATTCAGCAGAGGCCTGCAGATTTCCAGGATTCTTGCAGGGAGGAAAGACAAGACTGCGTCTCGGACATAAACTTATAAATTTCCATCTACATTGAAGCTTTTAGCATCTCTAAGTTCATATCCGCAATTAGAATATAATTTATCTTGTGAAAATCCATAGAAACACAACAATTAATTTTATGAGGAAGATTAAGTAGAGTGCCTTTGTAGTTGCTTGTCTTTGCCACTCACTGCCTATTCCAAGTTTCATGTACATCATTAGCTGCTACCATCTTTCCACTTATGATTTTAAATTGCATAACGTTTGAATGTTCGCTTGAATTGGCAGATGCTTCTATATACGGCCGCGTTTCATGCAATATCATTAAGACCGTTGATTTTCAATCAATAAACCAAAGAAATAATCAGTCGAACCGTGCATGCAGCTGCATAGCAGCAAGGAATAGCTGAACGTGAGTGGACAATGTTTTTCACTCAAAATGCGCATCGGGCTCCACCACTTTGGCACCCATAATGTCCTTATATGTGGGAACTTGTTTCATGTATACGGTGAGTCTCTACACTTTAGGGATTCAGTTTTTAGTGCATTAGAGAGCCTTATTCTTCATTTATAGGATCTATACGGTGGTGAGAATAACTTTAAGGGCTAGCATGATGCTCTAAATAACTAATAGTTATGTACTATTGACCTTAAATGTTTGATAAAATGAGGCATTTCAACAGTATATATACCCACCAACATCTTTAACCAAACAACAACAACAACAACAAACCACTCGATCGGCTCTTCAACAGTGTCGAGTCAAAACGCTTTAATTAGTTTCATTTTCTCAAATGGCTTCTTCAACAATGGCTCTCTCCTCTCCTTCTCTTGCTGGCCAAGCTGTCAAGCTTAATCCATCTTCATCTAACCTCCTCGGTGAGGGCCGAGTCACCATGCGCAAAACCGCAGCCAAGTCCAAAAATGTGTCGTCCAGTAGCCCGTGGTACGGTCCAGACCGTGCTAAATACTTGGGACCATTCTCCGGTGAGTCTCCTTCTTACCTAACTGGAGAATTCCCTGGAGATTACGGTTGGGACACTGCTAGACTTTCAGCCGACCCAGTAACCTTTGCCAAGAACCGTGAGCTTGAAGTCATTCACTCGAGATGGGCAATGCTTGGCGCTCTGGGCTGCATTTTCCCAGAACTCCCATCCCGCAACGGAGTCAAGTTTGGCGAGGCCGTTTGGTTCAAGGCGGGAGCTCAAATCTTCAGTGAAGGAGGGCTAGACTACTTGGGGAACCCAAGCTTAGTCCATGCACAAAGCATTTTGGCAATTTGGGTCACAAAAGTTATCTTAATGGGAGCCGTGGAGGGCTACAGAGTTGCCGGTGGTCCACTCGGTGAGGTGACCGACCCGTTATACCGCGGCGGGAGCTTTGACCCCTTAGGCCTTGCAGAGGATCCGGAGGCTTTTTCCGAGCTTAAGGTGAAGGAGCTTAAGAATGGAAGATTGGGCATGTTTTCTATGTTTGGATTTTTCGTACAAGCCATCGTCACCGGAAAGGGACCAACAGAGAATTTGGCTGACCACTTGGCTGACCCCGTTAACAACAAAGCTTGGTCATATGCCACAAACTTTGCTCCAGGGCAGTGAGGGTGACATTCCCTCAAATCCTGAGAGAGAAGCACTTTTACTAATCGCTTTTTTAAGCTAATTGTTTTGGCAAATTGTCTGAATTAATTGGGATTTTATCATTTTTTTTTTCTTGTGTGCTTATGTTGATACAACTTAGTGACCAACGCAAGGGAATATATCAACAATTGAGATTAAAGTTTCAAGTAAAAGTTTGCTTTGCCCGTGAATGTATCACCGCCTAATTAATATTTATATAAAAATTAACACTGAATTTTTTCTTGGTCTGACAAGTTAATGAGGCAGCACCATGCCTTAAGAGAAAAGGACAACCCTCATTTGGCATCTGCATAATTTTCTGATGGACTGGGGCCCCAAAGAGGCAGCAGCGTCATTGCCACTAGGTTCATCTGATCCATAGCATCCTCTCATGGAAAAGGCAGAATCAATTCGCTGAGGAATTCAAGCAAACTTTGGAAGATAGAGACTTCGAACAAAAGAGACTTCGGTTGTAAGGGTCCACCTTTGGCATCTTATGATATGGTTATGGGCAAATGGTGAGGACTGAGGAGGGCCAGCTGACCATTATGAGTATTGTTAGATCATAAGCAATCTGCTTCAACATGTTTCGTAGGATCACATTAAATTAGATCATAAGCAATATAGGTAGCTACCTTGTTATCACGTTACAAGTTCATAGTTGACTCAGGTTTAAACCCAATTTCAGTCAACAGTTTCTATAGTAATAGAAGTCCCTTGGCCATGACACGAAAACTTTTGTACATCCGAACACAACAATGACAGATGTAGTTATTGTAATAGTCATGAGACTATCTTGTCATTTCTTAATTGCATGTGGAGAACTAATATAACAATCTATAAACTGTTACAAATTTCCATCCATATATATTAGATTTGATTAAGAAAAATCATCCATATTATTAGAGCTTCCTCTCATTATCCAAAAAATCTTTAAGATGATGTCATTACTCTCACCAAAAAGTACGTATGTGGCAAAATTGTATTGGCGAGAGACATCGATAGTTCCATATATATTTTCTTCCTTTGTTCTTTTGTGAGGTTAAGTTCGTTTAGCTAGCTAGTAGAACATGTCAAGCCACCTGAATTGAAAATGACACAGGCTTCGGCAAGCTCAAAACAAGGCGGGCTCAACGTAGAAAACTAAGGCATAGAAAATGAGCTCTCACCACTCTACAAACCCACCTTCCTCCTCTTTGTGATCACACACACACACCACCACTTGCACACCTGGATGGAAGAGCCCCCAAAAACCTCAGGCCGTGCACGGGAAGCCCCACAGTGAAGTTGTCATTGTTCATCATCTTCTCCGACATGTTTTGTATTGTTCCAACGTTGTTAAGCTTCTAGAAACCCTTGGGTTGTGTTTTAGGGTTATATCGAAGCTTGTTTTCAGAGCCAACTTTTGGGGAGTGCAACCGATTCTATTGCACAGGGCTCCAAAATTTTGGGGGCCCCCAAAATTATTTTTTTTATTGAATATAATAATATTATATAAAACTAATTTATAGTATACTAATCAAATCAAAAAATATGTATATAAAAATCTGATGGGCCCCAAAAGCCATACTACTCCCTAAAATATGTATGCAAATTATATAAAATAATAATTAATGAAGGGCAAAGTTAATCTAACAAAAAAAAAAGGCAAACCTAATCAATTAAAAGTGGAGAACTCCACTGACTGAGGCAAACAATTTAGATACTCAAACTTCTTCTCTCACGCCAAAGTCTAATCACTGCTTCCCCTTTTTTTAATTCTATCACACCATACTACCAGAGCACCAGAAGTCAGAATTCCAGCCCAGATGCTGTCGCCAATGTCCCAGTTTACTTCCCATTCTCTCTTCAGTCCCATTGTTATATTTCCCACAAATTATTAAACCCTAATTTATAAATTTATGAAATTGAAGAGAAACTTTCGAATCATGAAGACAATTCAACTGATCAGAGTGATGTAGACTTCAATCAAGGTAAGATATTTACTAGTTTAAGTATATTGACTTGAAATTTGAAGATTTGGGTATTTCTCATCTATAATGATTTTTTTTTCTTTTGTACTTTTCAAGGCAAAATCAAGAGAAGAGCAATCACAAAAAATCGCTAGATGCACACGCATTACGGACTATCAGGTTTCATTGTTCATACTTACTATAATTTTATTGTGATCTTATTTGAGATATAAAAGATGGCACCTACTAGAAAATATTCATCTGGCTACTTGAAGCGTCAAAGAAAAAGAAAAGTTGAACAATTGACTCAGTCTAAAAAATGAGCTATTGATAAGAAGGGCCATTTTTATGAATTTCGCACAGGGCCCCGAAATCTCAGAGACGACCCTGCTTGTTTTAAGTGGTGTATACGTGTGAATCGTAGAAAATAGCTCGAAGTAACTTTTCTAAATTTTCCGATGAGCACCGCCCCTTTCGAGGTAATTTCCGGCCAAACCACGGCGATTTGGCCGATGTGAAAGGTATCAATCTCTTCGTCTCGTGGAGTACTACAACTTTCCTTTTTGTTTCACCCAATTTCATTGAGTATTGAAGAAGTTATGTTCATTTGAATCTTACCCAGTTTTTGGCGACCTTCACGGCTTTCAAAGCATTTTTCAGTCAAAACACGACGAGTTAGACGTCATGCAAGGTACCATTCTCTTCGTCTCGTTGAGAACTATGATTTCCGTTTTTGAATCACTCAATTTAGTTGAGTATTAATAAAATTATGAACGTTTAAAGTTTGTCTAAAATTCCGGCTGAAATCCGGCCTTCTTTTGTCGAATCCGGCAACCCACAGTTAAGTAAACCCAGGCCCTTTGGGCCGTTTAGAACTTGGGATTTAGGCCCGTTAAACCCAACCCCCTCTTCTTTTTATTTATTTATTTTCCTAAAACCCAAAAGGCCTTGGGCCATCTTGGTTAGGGCCTTAGGCTCGCTCCCTCTAAAACCCAAAACCCAAACCTTTTTTAATTATTAAACGCCAAAACCCTTTGAGGCCAAAACCCTAGGCCCAATCCATATCCCTTTAACCTTTTACCCCAGGCCTTTGGGCCATCCTACCAAGCCCAGACTTACGTGTTGGAATATTCTTTGGAATATTCTTATGTTGACTTTTAGGAAATTTAACTGGAACCCTTCTTAGAATAATTCGACGTCCTAAATCCGTTTATGAAGTCTGTTTTCCCAAATTCAATCATTTGGGCATAGTTTATTAATTTTACCCTTTTATGTTCTTAGATGCAATTAATAGCAACGATTCCGTTATTCCTTTTGGCACGGCTTTGCACCAACGCGGTGTACGGTGAGTGGACCCCTTCTAAAAATGTATGCTTTAATAGTAGAAATGCATACATGAAAAGCATGATTTAATGATTATGTTTTATGAAATAACATGCTTATTGAGGCTAGTTTGAATTATTACTATTTTTCCTATAACCCATGTTCTTTATAGGATATCTGATGGATGACGATATAATATTTAGAACATGTTTCGAACACCTACTTATAGTATAGATGATGGATAACATTATACTATGAAGTTGCTTTCAAATATATGTATGTTCAATGGTTTTGTACTTACCTAGTGGTCCCTATTCCGCTACGGGGCAAGCGATAGATTCCGTCACAGGTGAGGTTACGATGTTGGCATAGGGCCTGAAGGTCATTTTCCTCTGGCAAATTGGCACAGGGACGGGGAGCTGGCACGGGGCCTGAAGGTGATTTTCCTCTAGCAATTAGCACAGCGGCTGGGAGCTGGCATGAGGCCTGGAGTGAGATTGGACATTCACTAGTGATTACAATATATATGAGTTATGTTTTGAGACATTGCACGGCGTGCTAGGTTCAGAAAACCTATTTTATTTATTATGATATATGTGTTTTCATAAAACCTGAGGGTTATTATGTTAATAACTGTTTTATTATATCGATATCAACTTGGTCCACTCGTGTTTGTTTTGCGCCCCCTTCATAACTTAGAATCGAGGCGTGCAATCCCAACGTCAAAGCACTTCCGCATTGGCATCTTCGAGTCCTCTCAGTGTACGACCCATTCTTTTATTCATTAAATTTTATATTATTTCTTTTAGTGTTCTAGTTAGTTGTATGCTCTGAACACATTCCTCATTTGCACATTCATTATATTTAAATTTCTTTTATCTTATTCATATTTTAGTCCTCATGCATTCAATAAATGACTTTCGTCATTCTCGGGTGTCGGTCAGTACATGCATATTCTAGTATTCAGGGAATATCGGGATCGGAGTGTGTCACTGAGAGCTGAGAAACGCTTTCACAAAGTTTGCAGGTCATTGGGGTTAATATGCTTAATTATGTTGATGAAACTTGGTGATCTAAGAGGAATATAACAACAAATGCTTTGAGGGAGTAAAATTTTGTCCTATTACATATAAACTTCTATTTGGTTGCAATATTTTAGTTGAATTAGAAATTTAAAACTCAAAGTTTTTAAGCCATTTTCATTAGTTTTCCTCTTTTTTTTTTTTTTTTTTGTTAAATTTTCGTCTTGCCAATACCACAACACAAAACTATCATCTTGATGTTCTACAAAATGTATTTTTGGTGAAAATTTTCTTCTAATCCATGTCAAAAAAAATTTGAAAATAAGGATACAAATATAAAAGGTATTTGAATCTAAATAAAGTAACGCACTAAGAAAAAGAAATTCAATGGAAAAAGAAAAAGAAAAAGAAAAAGGCGGGGGGAAAAATGTTATGATCGATACTTTGATCCCGATCCTTGCTGAAGAGAGTTGCTATAGTACTAGCGATTGTATCGAATTACAATCGCTATAACACTAGCAATTTTATTCAATTAAAGTCACTAGCTTCGTACCGATCCCCCTCTTTTCAATTTTTTTCTTTTTATTTATTTTATTTTATTTTATTTATCTTACCATAACTACAAATTATCATATTCATGTTCTTCAAAATATATTATCCCATGCTAAATCTATTATAATTAATATTTAAACACTTGAAATTAATGATTTAAAACCTAAATTTAAAGATACTCTCATATTTTCAACTTGAAAAAATCAATAAAAAAATAGTTTCAGGACCTAATAAACAGTATCACATCCAAAGGTCTTCCAATATTTTCTTTAACTCCGACGCAAATATTTTCTAAAGCTAAAAATTTCAAATTTTCACAAAAACTGTGATTTACAACCCATAGTTCTCTAATCGATGTTGAGAACTTTTACAATATTCGTTATAA